GTCATGTACCTTGTCGTTGGTATCACTGGCTGCTGCCGCTGCTGCAGTGGCCGGGGTTGCTGTGTCTTTATCGGGGTTACACCGCTCTCACAGCTTGGAGCCAGGCCGGGCTGGTAACGCCATGTAGCGTCTTAAGGGCTGCCAGGGTCGCTGACCTGTCCCGCGTGGGTGCTGGGGTTGACGGGTCGAGGTGTGTCCTGACCCATACGGGCCAGGTCGACCTGGGGGGGGAAGGCAGCTTGAGTACGTCCCAGTATATAAGTTGTGAATGTACGTACGTATGTATGTATGTATGTATGACGTTGATTACACTGTGGGCTGAAAAGCCGGGGGTATGTATGTATGTATGTATGTACGTATGTATGTATGTACGTATGTATGTATGTACGTATGTATGTATGTATGTATGTATGTTCAGGGCACTTGGGTATGGTAGAGGCTGCGTAAGCATGAATAAGAGTTCTTCCAACCCCTTCCTTCCATTACAAGCGGATGCATTACTTGGATTGTGATATTCGTCCCTCGTGCAGGGCGCAGAGCTCTCGTGCACCAGCGGCAGCGGCAGCAGCAGCAGGGGGCGGAGGGGGCGTGTCACGGCAATGATGATGGCAAGCACCGTTCGGGACCCCACCGCCGCCACAGCAGCTACAGCCGGCTACAAGCCGTACCCGTACGGCAGCCAACCGTCCCCAGTCACCCTGCCCTAGCAGACCTTCCGGGTCTGCCATCGGGCCGGGATTCAGACTTGGTTTCGGAGCCGCGATCTCCTCTTGTCTCTCCTGCGTTATGCAGCCTTCCCCCGGCGGACTGCAGCCAGCAGCTATCCCCCCATCATCATCTGGACGTGGCTGCGGAATTCCCAAGAGTGGCAGATGGTGGTGGTGGTGGTGGTGGAGGGGAAATGGGGGGGTGTTTATATGGGAGTGAGGGGAGGGACGGCTGGTGGGTTGGATGCAGCAGTTGGTCGTTTGTACGGCAAGGGCGATGGGATGTGTGGATGGGCGTTACAACAGACATTGCAACGGACGGATGACGTGATGTCTGATTTGGTGACAGCGGTGTGGGGGTTGTGTGGGGGTGGGTGGGGAAGGGGAGGAGTGGGGCTGGCTGACGAGATGACGCGACACGTGGGGCAATTGATTGCCATCATTATGATGGCTGTGGTTGTTGTTGTTGTTGTTGTGGTGGTGGTGGTGGTGGTGGTGGTGGTGGTGGTGGTGGTGATGGTGGTGGTGGTGGTGGTGGTGGTGATGGTGGTGGTGGTGGTGGTGGTGGTGGTGGGAGCCCACGGGGAAAGGCGTGTATGCATGTGTGTGTTGGGTTGTGGAGAGTGAGTGACCTGGCTGACCTGCCGCAGTTTCCGACCTTATCTTCATTAAGAGCGAACGAGCGAACGAATATAACGAACAAACGAACTAATATAACGAACGAATATAACGAATAAACGAAGCGTCCTGCCCCGTCCTGTTCTCTGGGTTTGCGACAAGTACGTGCGGTGTGTAGACGGCTACAACCTACTACAGTTGATGGAAAGGCTGTCAAGACTGCGACGGTTGTGACAGTTGGGGTCCCCAGGGAATTAGTTGGTTCTGTTGGTTAGTCATGGTATGTATAGCTACGCGGGTCAAGACACTGTCTGGTGGCGGTGGTTGTGGGGTGAAGATGGATGAGCTGTAGCACCGCCACCCTTGGCTATTAGAGGGGGGAGGGGTATTGGCAGCAGTGGACGGAACCTGAGGCCAACTAGCCTGATTTGGTGGTATCACCCCCGAGGGGGGAGGGAGGGAGGGGGGTTTCCAGTTTTTGCCTGTTGCACCTTTACAGCCTTTACCGGGTATTCTGTTGAGGAGAGATCTTGCCGCCGTCCTACACAAGCAGAAGCCTTATGGACCCGGTTTGGCACGGCCCCCTGCCACGGCCCCCTGCCACGGCCCCTTGTGCACGCATGATACGCATGGATGCCCCTCAAGACCCACTGGCCATCACAACAGTGAAATACACCCGGCTATGTTTGGTTGTCATGTCACGCACATGCGCCCCTACCCCCCCCCCCGATCTCCTTCCTCTCATGTCCTGGACGATCCTGCCTCATCTAAAGAAGCTTGTCATGTACGGCGGCTGTACGTCTCCACCTGCCTAAGGTGGTTCTGCACCTTATTGACATATTCAAATTTCAATCACCAGAGAAATCGTTAGGTATGGAGGCCGAATATTCCGGCGGCATCGACAGGGAGATTGGCAGCGCAGCCGCACCAGCTCCAGCAGTAGTAGGAGCAGTAGGAGCAGGAAAGCAGTAACAAAAGTCACCAGTAAGCAACGAGTGCCTGGAGCCACAGCTCTTAGGGGTCATGGCAGTTAGTGAAGGACGCTTCCGGCCCAAGCTGCTAAGGATGCTAAGAGCTGGTGACGGAGCTGCTGACATCACCCTTTGTGATACTGGAACAGCTAGCAGTGGTGGCGCCACTGCCACACTGCTGACACGACCCCATGGCTGCCACAGCAAGCCGCTGGGCCCTGCTGCCGCCGCTGTTGCTGCAGCGGACACGGTGGCGGCCACACTGCCACTCCGGCAGCGGCACCGTCCCTGGTTGCCGGGTGCCGGGTGCGGTGCAGCTCCGGTGCCAGCAGCAACCCCTCCAGCAACAGCCGCTGCTGCGCCACATGCTGGTGGGACACATGGCGGGCCAGCATGGCAGCATGTGGCGCCAGCGGGGGTGCCGCTGCAAAGGCGGCCTGCAGCGCCTGCAGTGTGAGGCCTACCCGGTGAGTCAGGTCACCACATGCTCTGCCAGGGCAGGCTTGGTGAGTGCCATATCGGGCAGGTATGTCAGCACAGCCAGCGGCTGCTGCACGCCTGCACTCGCCCCCGGCAATGACACTCGAGCAGTGGCTGCGGGATCTGATGGAGTTGCGGGAGGTGCTGTGGAGGGTGGTGCTGCAGGTGATAGCGGAGTCGCAGGGGCGGGCTTTAGATTGGACGCCTGAGGTGTGGCAGCAGCCGACCGCGTGCCACAGTGCTGTGCGCTACAGATGCCGGTTGTGACACCCCACCACCGGCACCGCCGCCTTGACCGCTGGGCTGAGTCAGCGTCCGTACAGTAGCGGCCTGCATGTGGTGTGTTGCCAACAGGCTGACAAGTGTGCATGCCAGCCCCCGGGCGCCAGCATCATCACCACCATCGCCGCTGCCACCAGTCGTGGTGATGACACCTGCCGCTGGCTGCTGCAGGTCTGCCGCTGCTAGCACCAGCATGCCACTCTGTGATAGCCATTTGACTAGGGACCCCGCCTCTGCCAGACGCCCGCCCACTACAATTGCCACGTCAGCCTCCTCCGCCATGCGCGCTGCCAGCTTGGCCTCGCTCAGCACCGCCAAGGGGTCCAACGCTAACACTGCCGCAGATGCAGGCGGTGGGGGAGGCACCAGGGCCGGCTGGGAGGACACCGTGTCGTCGGCCGCGGCCACAGGCACAGATGCTGATCGCCGCCGGTTTGGAACATTACTGCCCGAAGCGGATTCCCGCGATGCGTTCACCACCAATGGCGCTGCTGATGGTGCTGCCGATGGTGCGCCCGGCAACACTTCCGATGGAGTGGGGGATAATGCAACCTTCACTGCAGTGTCTCCGGCAGCTACTATGGCGGCGGCAGCAGCACGGGTGGCAAAATGGATATTGTAAAACTCCTCCGCATAGCGCAAGGTCCAGCCCAGGAGCTCGATCACCGCCGGCAGGTGTGGCAGCGCAGCCATATCAGGCGACAGTGGAGGCGCTGCATGAGCAGCTGCATCCAAGCTTCTGGGTGTCACCACCGCTGACGTGGCTGCGGCAGCGGCAGCATTCAGATGAACAACGTCAAGGTACAGCACCGCCCGCCGCGGCTGCCAGGTTGTGAGTAGCGGCTGGTTGAGAGGCGCCAGGGAGGGGTCCCCAGGCCGCAGGGGCTCACCTGGCGCCGCTGCCGCAGCTGATGTGGCCGCTGACGGCGCCCGCCCGCTGATGCGGATATTGCCTACCGTCACCACCGTGAAGCTGACGCAGCTGGCGATATGCAGAGAGAAGCTGTAGCATGAGCTGCTGCTACTACCGTCACCGCTGCTGTAGCTGCTGCTGGCACCGTCCGGTGCAGGACCGGTAGGGACCACAGGTAGCGGTGGCACCTGCAGTGGTTCGGTTAGGCTTTGTTGATGACCTGGCGGTGGCGGCGGCGGCGGCATATGCACCTGTACGGCTAACGGTGTCAGCACCATTTGCGCCGCCAGACAGAAGCATGACGTGACGGTGGCGGCGGTGTGGGAGGTGAGCTCCGTGGCAATGGGCGGCATGCAGTCCGCAAGTACTAGTACGGCATCATCATAAAAGCGGTTGGCATGCAAGAACTCCAGGGTGGCCTTGGTAGCATCGAGCACCCGGTCGACCTACCTGCATCAACCGTGGCCACATGGCGTAGCAGGACAGACAGGTGAAAAATCTCATTAAGTCACCATTACAATTTGATGGATCCCATTACTGCTATAGGAGCAGTACAGTAACATTTTCTAGGTTGTTTAAAGGTCCTCCTGCTAGCACGAAATTAGCTTCGACCACATCCCACAACACGTCCCACATCCCAACTACTCCAAAACTTTGACAAAACCCCTTTCCACATCCGCAGTCGCACCGGCCCATGACCTCCAGAGCCAGCATCACCACCGTGTGGTGCTGCCCGTACAGCAGCAGCGCATGCTGCTCCCACCACTGCTGCCGACCAAGCCGCACACAGCAACCCAAGCTGCAGCCGCATCCGAACACTGGCCTTCTGTGGGCCCAGCCGGCCACCGAATGTGGGCTGGCGGTCGCCGGTGCTGGGGCGCTGCGGGTCAGGCCGCCCAGCAGCCACGGCAGCGGCTGCAGTGCGGCGCGCAGCTGCGGGCCGGTGCGGTGTGAGGGCAGGGGCGACCCCGGGCGTGAGGGACACACAAAGGGCGAGGTTGCAACGGTAAGGTATGAGGAGTTCCAGTTTGGGCAACACGTGCTGTACTGGTGGAGCATGTAGGATGCGGAAGGGAGAGCGACTTCGTGTATGTAACACAACTGTGTGCAACGTCAGGGTTTCGCCAAGCGTTACATGAAGGTTGCTAATACATATGCTGCAATAAACGAAACGCACCTGTCTGTGAGCGCTGCAGCCAACCGCCGTTTGGTGGATTAGGGCAGGCTGCAGGAATACTGGATTGTGCATGCCGCCTAATAAGTAATATCCCAACTTCGTAGTAGTTGGCGTGGGAGGTAAAGTGTATTGTCACTGAAGTCTACCGCATATGGAGATACTGACCTGCCCCGCCAGCAGCAGGCGATGCAGCACCCGCCGCTACCGTGGAGCTGGAACCAGCACCGGTATTGGCAAAGGCGTTGGCGTCCACCTGCGATGTGAGCCGCACCATACCAGCTGTGCCACCAAATGTGCCCCCGACACCCCCAGCCATAGCATCAGCGGAGGTGGCGGCGCTGCCGCCGCTGCAGCGGCGGCGGCCAACAGCTGCTCCCACAGCACGACCACCGTCTCCGGCTCCGCCAGGCTGGCGGCGACTGTAGCCGACAGGCCGCCTTCCAGCGCCGCTGTTACTGGTGCCACTAACGCCGCAAGATCCGCCCGCGCCACCTCCACGAGCGCCATGTCGTCCGCCCCTGGAGCCGCCACCTGCTTGTGCAGCTCCTCGCATGCTTCACCGGCGGCGGTGGCAGCAGACACCCGGCGGTACAGCTCCAGACGCTGGCGGAAGAAGGCGGTGGTCTCTGCCAGGGTCCTGAGCGGGCACAGACACGGACATAGACATTCACACGGATATTTAACGGACATCAAGGAGCGTAGCACATCATCATCTACGCAGCTCAAAGTAGGGGTGCTGGTGATGGCAGTGGTGGTGTTGACGTATGTTCAGGCTTGTATCGAGGGGAAGTTGGAAAGCTGTGAAGTCGTCTCGATGTTAGCCTTGTCCTAATTGGAGTGTAGGAACCAGGGGCCCATGTCACCGCCCCAACTGGCCGCATGGTGAGCCGTGACTGTCTGAAAGGTCTCGCACAGTCACAAACAGAAGGCATCCGTCCCACCTACCAAGGCTCACTGCCACCCTCACCACCCAGTCCCGCGGACCACGGTGCACTTCTACAGACACCCCTTCCCCTTCACCCCGGGAACAGCATTGTCGAACTCCCAGCTGGCCACATGTCTACGTTTTTTTCCGTGACAAAGTGGCAGGCTGTGGGGACAGCAGCAGCAGCAGCAGGGCTCTTCTCACGGCTGGATGGAAGGTACCTGTAAGGCAGGGAGCTGGGACAGGTGCCGCTCTAGGATAAGTAGCAGCGACAGCAGCAGCAGGCGTGGTGGCCACAGAACCGCAGTCGGCACAAGGCGGAATATCAAGCAAGAAACGGCAAGATTGCCCACGGACGGCCCCTTGCCCGCCAGTGAGCAGTACCACAGTGAGCTTCCTCTGGGACCTCTTGCGCTCGAACAAACAGGCACGCCTCCCAACAAGCACAACGTGTAGCGCCAATGGCGAAGCATGGAGGGAGAGCGCTCGGCTATCCACACCTTAGCAGCATTGAGGCTTGCCGACACCCTTCCAATGGGCGTCTTTTCCGCGTCTTTCCTTAATCTGGAGACCAGAAGCCTTCCCACAGCTCGTCCGTCACTGCGGGGCACAAACTGCATACGTACGGCACATACACGATACAGACACGGCCCCGCCGCAAAGCAAAGCGGTGGTGGTGGTGACTTGCTGTGCCACGCTACACGCAATCACGCACCTGCAGGCGATGCAGGGTTTGCAGGAGTCAGCCAGTCAGCCAGGGAAAGCAGCTGCAGCTGGGCCTCTGGGGGGGGGGGTATGTGCGGGTCCGTGTCGGGGAGCGCAGGAGGATGACGGAAATCTTCAACATACAAGGAAACAAAGGGTCAGCTGCCGAAACCCGCAGTAAGGAAGGGTGAGGCTGGTTACAGGGAAGGAGGGAGAGAGGCGAGGGAGAGGAGGAGACGCAGGGCGGTACAGACAGCAGCTGCATAAGCCCCCGTTCAGTTCGAAAGTGGAAGTGAGGCGGAGGAGCAGAGGAAGCGAGGGGCAAATGCAAGTTGTTGTGACGCGTTGCGGAGGTTGGTGACCGGGGTGTACGACGGGTGCGTGTGTGTGTGTGCAAACGAAAACATAATAACCCGGAGGGGGTGGTAGTAGTGGAGGGGGGGGGCATGGGGGAGTGAAACCATGTGGCAGATAGATCTCGCGGACCTGCGGCTCTCGGCTGCTTAGGAGGGGCCAGAGGCGCGCGGGGGAGAGAGCTTAGGCGGTCTTTCCGTTGGGGCTGGGCAGCAGCCCCTGGCCAGTGTCAGGCCTGGCCAGATTCTTCTAACCTTCACATACACACACACAGCCTATATAGGCGATGGTGGTTTTGCAGGAGTTAGTGCTGCGAGTGTGCATGACGGAATTGTGATCTGGTGCGGTGCTGCCCCCCCCCGGGGGGGGGGCCGAAGCTCCCACCTTGACACCTTACCCTGACGCCTGCCTGACGCGTACAAAGGGCCCCTCAGACTGACTGAAACAAACGCCTGGTGCGGGGCGGCTGAGAGGGGCCTGACACAACTTTGCGCGGCTTGTGTTTTACCAGGTAGTTCGTTGAAGAGGGGCGTAGTGTGTTCAGTTTTGGTTGTAGGGTTCAGCTTTCGCTCCCCACAAGGAGGAGAGTGCTTCGGCTGTCGTTCTCGTTGGGGTACGGTGATACCCTCCGCTTCTACCGATGTATCTATGCAGCTAATAATAGCAGGCAGGCGGCACGATAACGAATTGCCCGCCATTATTATACGTTTTTATACGTGTTCGAAGCAAACAATGAAGCTAGTAGGGCATCCCGAGGCAAGTCGCTGTCCTGCTGCTGCTGCTGCTGCTGCCTATCGCTCCATCCCGTGGCGGGTCCCCAAGAGGCTCTTAGTCATGCCAGCAACTTGCATGCCGTACGTAGTCATGTCACGTTCCTAGCATGTATAATAATATGACAACGCACCCTCGAGTCTCGTTCTGTTGGAGACATACATACGCAACGCAAAAATCCTATCATATTCCTTCCGTGCGATTATATATTTATATTACTGTTGCATTTCCAGTTTCGGCGACAGAAGTAATTCGCGAGCTTCAGATTACTTGCGGCATCAGCATCAGCATCATCATCATCAGCAGCAGCTGGGAGTTCAGCAATCAGCTGCAGCTATCTGCGACGACTACACCGCCCAGCAGGCTAGCCACCGAAAGACTGAAAAAGACCTTCCGGGCGTGTGGCGCTGATCATTCATTCTTCGTGAGCAGAGGTAGGGGCAGCAGAGCAGTAGATTTGCAGGATGCTTGTGAACAACTCCTCAGCCTAGAAGCCGAGTAGGGTCTGCCTGCTGTCTTCCTACGCCTTGCTTTCCACGAACACCCGTCGTAGCTGTCGTCCCCGCTGCTGTATATAAACTGAGTCGAGCGAGCGATTGAGTAAACAAACCTGCGACCAAACGTAAAACCGCATGTGTGGCATAGTAATGATAATAATCAGCTTTGGTTTGCCTGCCTGCCTCGTCCAATAACAAAGGACGTGTGTGGAAGCAGACGCTTTCTTGCCGCCGACGCGGGTGGACTATTTCATTGCGTGATCGATGATGAGCCAGCCACATAACAGGAGAGCGGAGAGCTTCAGACATACAGATAGACAGCAGTAGTAGTGAGGTGTGTAGTTTCGCCGCTGATAACACAAGCAGCAGCAGGCAACCTGCGATGTAACCCCCGGTAGGCCTTCCATTTCCTCTCCTGACCTTATTATTCATTTCATGAATGGATATAGAATTTGTTTCCTCCTCGTCCTCCTCGTCCTCCCTCCTCCTCCACCCAGTATTTTTTTTTCGTTTTGGGCCTAGTACCCTAGAGTAATAAACTGGGTGTTTCTTGCGGTTACAATTCCTTTTTGTATAGTCGCTGGGGGGGGNTGCGCCCCCCCCAGACCCCCCCCCCTCAAAGGCCTTACGGTGTGCTGTAAACAACACCTGACGTCTGGAAACACACATGCCGTACCACCATCGTTCTGTGCGCCTAACTGCATTTGCGCCAGTGTCTCTGTGAGCAGGGCGCGGAGCCACTTTGACTGTCCATAAACATCGTGAGCACGCGAAGGCAAAGTTATATATATGTACACTGTCGGCACCATCAACACCATTGCACCATATGTGCAGAAGGCATTTGGGGCGACTTATGGCACAAGTAATGAACCAGTACGGCCAACTGACCAATTATTCCATTTCTTCCAGGCTCAGACCCCCATTTATTCCCAAAAAAGTAATATATTACCAAAAAAAAACACTGCCTCCACCTCCTCGTAGTTTCTTTAGTTCCAAATGAATATTCCTGATAACAAGTGGTGGTTAACGACCTCTACTGCTAGCTGCTGCTGCTGCTGCCTCGACGGACTATTGCCTCATCAATTGACTCCTCTGCCGCCGATCCCCCCCCCACACATACATACATACATACATACAGGACCGCCGGCACATCGGATCCAAGAACAGATGGCCGACCCAGGCTCCGATGCCGCTGCCGTAGCGAAGACGTCGTTGTCTCTCGCCCGCATTACCCATCATCCGGCTCCACTACTGTGTCCAAACAATGATAATAATCACAACACCAGCAGGAAAACCGCCTTCATCGCGAACACTACTGCTGCAGCAGCAGCTGCCGACGGCACTGCCGAACAGGCCGTCAAGGAGGTGGGCTACTGTTCCGCTTATCAGCAGCCACAGCAGCTGCAGCTGCTGCTGCCCGCCGGCTGCATCCGGACGGCCGCGTGTAAATGGCGCCGAGGAGACGGCGAGCGAGGAGGTTTCCAGGATCATCAGAACGACCTGCTGCTGCTGCTGGCATCCGGCGCGCTGGTGAGTAGGCCTGCTGATGAGGAAAATGCATTTTGAAGCTTGCCAATTGTCTACACAGAAAAGGCTGTAAGGCTGCCAAAGCATTACTTCCACACATGCATACTTAGGCAGGTGGCTGGCTGAAGTTAAGGCCTGATTTCTTCTCCCGGAGTGTCCGGGTTCAATGTCGCCTGCCGACCCTTCGGTGTGTGAGGGGCGTTGACTTGGGAGGTGGCTCCCCATCTTGTGGACGGTGTAGGACATGATTATATCAACTTGAGAGCTGACCCGGAACTAAGTCGAGGCGCCGTTGATCTGCCAGTTTTTGTTAGATGCTGGTGGTGAGTTGCTTAACCCAACGAATACATTCTGAAGTCGGATGGGGTGAATGGATTAGGGTGCCCCTCTTGCAGGGGAGAACAGGGAACTGCCTCGGGAAAGGGGGCCGCTGGTGAAGCTATACCCCCCTGTAACAACATACATACTTGTGGGCATGATCTGCCCCCCCCCCCCCCCACACACACAAGAGCATCCCACACCGCGTGGTTAGCCGGACGGTGTTAAGAGTACTGAGAGCGCAACGCAATCACTGAAATCACAGTCGCATATCTCTGCGGCTAATTAGGTCGTAATAAGCCAATTTTCCTTCGTCGTACTCTCGGTGACTCAACGATTGTGTTCTCACAAACATTCATGCATTTTCTGCGTTCCTACGTTCTCCCTTACCAACCATATCCGCAGGTACTTGCCCATTTCTTCACTCCCCGTCAGCAGCCGCCTGCGCCGCCGCCCCTGACGCTCCATGCCGCAAGCACCGTGCCGTGTTCGCCCAGTCGTCCTCCCGTAGCCACGATGACAACCACCACTACCACTGCTGTCGATATCTCTGCAGCCCCTTTTATCGCTGCTGCCACCGCAGCTGCCACCGCGCCGGTTCAATTCCTGCCGAGAACAGTCTTTTCTGAACATCTTACGCCTCTGTCGTGTAGCTGTCCGGCTGCTGGCTCCCATAGGGGATCCCATTCGAGGGGGCCTCATCAGATGCAGACCGCCTGGCCTCAGACGGCGATGGGACCCGCCGTTGGGCTACGTGATGGATCACCTGCTAATGAAGATGGTGTTGCGGCGCCCTCCACCGCCACATTGGTCGCCACCACTACTGCGGCCATGGAATGCGCAGCTGCCCTAATGAATTATTGTCCGGCCCCAGATAAGAGAATCCGGTTAGGTACAGTGCCTCCGTCGTCGACCAGCTCCGTTCCCCCCTGTCGTCGCTTCTCACTGCTGGCCACTACTGCTAGCAGCAGCAGCAGCGGCGGTGAGGATGAGCTATCGCCGTTGTTACGCATTCATAATCAGCAGTCGCACAATGACGCCCGCAACGAGGTCGCCGTGCAGCAGACAGCCGTTCTGCCTTCACCATCCCCGCATGAGGGTAATCGGGATAATTACGGACCTGCAATGCACTTCAATAACTTGGATCATAGTGTACGATGCACCTGTCGTGCTGTGTACGACGGCGGGCTCATGGCCAACCATGCTTGCGACGTAGTAGAAGGGCCCAAGCAGCAGCAGCAGCAGCAGCAACAGCTGGGGGGACAGAAGCGGCGTCTCTTGGACTTCGTCTGGGCCCATGACCGTTATGTGACCTGGTCGCCGTCGCCGTACTTCCAGCCGTCATACGACGACCTGCGGGAGGGCGCCACAGGGCCTCTTGTTTCAACCCCTCCAACCGCGACGTTGTCATCAGCGCCGTCACTGCCCTCGCCACTCCCCCAGGACTACCACGGATACAACAGGCCTTTGCTGAGCTCCGCGATAAGGGATCCCTCGGAGAGCCATCCATCCAGACGTCAGCCTGTTTCACATGACGGCGGGCTCCTGGCCGAAGTGGGCGGCCAGCAGGGGGGCCAGCAGCAGCAGCAGGAGCAGCAGCAGCGAATTTGTTCAAGGGTGGCGTCTGCGGAGGCCAATAATGGCAATTTTGCTGATGAGGACTGCGGCAATTATGACTGCGACAACTTCACTTCTGCACCTGCAGCTGGACTTACTGTGGTGGAGACGCCGGCGGCGGTCTCCGGTGCTGAAGATGGTGATGGTGGTGACCCACAGCGGATGCCGCCATCATCGGTGCAGCAGATATCGACAGCGGCCCCCGAGGCCCTCGAGTGTGTGATCAGGCTCCGTCGATGGCCTCGCGCTGATATCTTGTCCCTGTCGTCGTTTCCGTCGTGGTCGTCAGCCCCTCCTTCGCGATCTCCTTCGTTTTGCTCATCAGACGGGGGAGGAGACGAGCAGCATTGGGCCGTACTGCGCCATCCCCTGCAGAGCTAAATTCTGAAGTCCAGAGGATTAATAATAATTAATATACACATGTGTACGGCATACGGCACATGTCTGCCAGCAGCTGCGGCCCTCTTGTCTGTCTGCCTGCGTGCTCCGGTGACTGGATGAGGGTACCCCGAAATACCCGCGGGGAAGGCAGGGTCTGCCGGGTAGCGGCCGCAGGGTGAAGATATGAACCCCCTGTCCCACACATACATACAGGGTGCCCAAAGTTGTGCTAAAGTATGCCTCGCTTGAAATATATAGATGTCTGACACACGATGAACAGTGTGTACATGTTTGCAGATAAGACGTTTGCGCCCCTAGGGTATGAGGGAGTTACAAGTTCTACACATATACATACATACACACACGTGCAGGGCTGTCCGTAAAAGCCTGAAAAAGGGGCCGCATGAACGATGTATTGGTAGGTGGGTCTCAGCAGATTCAGGTCGTCAGCGACCTGAACAGCCCTGAAATATTGGCTGCCCGCGGGGTGCGTGTGTGTGTTGGCCTAGTGGGTGCCGTGGTGAAGTGATGGATATACATACAGGGGGCCCGAAGTTGTATTCTCGTGTTTGGTTTTAGTAACTAGTAGCTAACCGTGCTTAGAATGGTGGAGACGGGAAGCAGGGAGACCGGCTGCCAAGCCCCAACCAACCACGGCCGCGCGACTGCGGCTCACCACCGCCACACGACTACCGCGCGGCCCACCAACACACCCCTACGGGGCAACACGCGCGCGACAGAACAGCACACAACGCGAACCCAAGGAACGCCCAAAGGCCACCTGAACAAACTCACGCATTGCGACCAAACTACATAAACCAAAGAAAAAGGGGGGCCTGGACTGAGCCAGCAACGAGCCCTAACCTACCGGAGCTCCCCGAGGCCGCACTACTAGGCGAGAAAGACCAAACCGCAACGAGGGGACCCTCCCCAACCCTCCCTCTGTCGACTCGCCGGCTGTCCAGCCGCCCCTCAGCGGGTGTCTGCCACCGGCCCGCCGCTGGCCTAGCCCGGCGTGGAGGTGTCTGCAATCGACCAGCGAAGAAGCGAAATAGGGTGGTTAGGAGGCGAGGGTGATACTAACAATCGCAAGACCGTGGTGGGGAAGGTGGGTGGGGAACTGTCAGCTACAAGCTGAAGCTCTCTCTACTGAGTGAAAGGCATAATGCCTGCAATGAAGGATGGATGGATGGATGTTACAAGCTTCAGCGAGCTCGTACGGCCCAAACGAACCCGGAGGCTCATGAACCGCTTTGACAGCGCCGTCGATAGGGAAAAGAAAATAGGGGGGTCCTTGTGAAGCAGCTGCCCGCGTTTCCAAAGCCCGTATGGTGTTGGATTGTAAGGTGCCCAAGTACGTTTGCGAGGAAGAGAATGTGGCCAGGCTGGAGAGGAAAGTGCAGTGGCATATTGGAATGTGAGATTAGCGTAAGCGAGTTACAGGGCGTTGCATTGCACGGGCGAATTTACGTGCAAATCTTTCACCGTAGCATCAGTCCTCAGTTCACTTCTTGGAACGAACATCAGCATAGGTGCAAGCCCTCCGCTTGGAGGGATATGCAAACAAACATCCTGATAGGGGTAAACTCGCACGCTACCGAGCATTCAACCGAGCACATGCATGCTTAGTTGAATGGTGAGATGCGACCCCCCCTTCATTTCGTGCTCGGCAAGCCTGCCACCGCGTACCGGATATGTTGGCGATGTTACAGAACGCTGCACCTTGGTTTCTGTGCGCATTGCAATTGCGTACGTTGCTCGACCCCGCCGACCAAAACTACACGTGCCCAACTGAAGACATTCCCGGTGGTTGTGCAGCAGCTCTTGAGGCTGTTGCTGGCTGAAATCCATCCTGAGCTGTTGCAACACGGCTAACGCGGGCACGTCCCTATGCACAGCAAATAGCTGTTCCAAGCCAACAGCGGCGTCCATGTCACCGACAAGGCTCTAAACGTCTTATCTGTTCTTATGTTTAATTAAGTTTACTCTGTATGTTATACTTTGCGCAACTTTGTAATTTGACTTTACTCTGAACAAGGTGCTGCATACAACTGCCTCTTCGCCAGCGCTTCATCTTCCGCGGCAGTTTCACGAGCCCAGAGTTGCTTTTAGTTACTGCAAAGCATCCACACAATAGTCCAGCCTGCATGCCGCGTGCGGCTATGGCCAACATGCCCACCTGCGCAACGCGCTGGCGCACCTGGTCCTTTTCCGCCAAGAAAATTTATATACACTTGTACAGGCGCATTTTGCGAATCGCACGCGTGCATCCGCAGGGCAAAATTCGCTCCTGGCTTTTTTGGGACGATGTACGAACTGTTTTTGGGCACAGTACGACCGGACACATTTGTGCGAGGGGCTGCTTAAAAAGAGAAAAAGTAAACGAAGCAAACACAACAAACAACAAAAAAAGGAAAGTTTTTCGCAAGGAGAAAACGGGTGTTTATGGGAAAGAACAGCGTCAATTTGACTCTGAAACACAATTGCCTGTTACCGCCGAGAAAGTTAGGTAGTTAGGTGCTCATGCCGGGAGCGAAACATCTCAAAAATAGCCTTTGCAAGACCACGCTGATCATCCACTTGCATGATATCACGGATGTTCGCATTGACGGGCACACCGAGGTCCCAGAGCTTCTGACATTCTACCAAGAAGTGTTTCTCATCCTCAATAGCACCATTACTACGACACACAGCGCACACGCGGTGCTCCCTAGCCCTGTTGCTCTCACTGTTAACCGCCAGGTCAGAGACACACAAACGAAAGCGGATTAGGGCACGATGATGCGCCGGGGGGATATAACCCGCGTACGGCTTCGGTGGCCCCATCCAGTGCTTATGGCGGCCCATCTTCACGCCGGGCTTCCTACCGTCCGTAACGAAAACTCTAGGGTCCACAGCTAGCCTATCATTTGCCCAGTCGTCGTTGACACGTGTCCTAAGGGTGTCCATTAGCGCTTCGACATCAAGCTTGCAAGCCGAGTAACGTCTAACCCTCACATCAATGCCTCCCCCGACTGCCTCCTCACCCCAGTCATGCTCTAAGTGGTTAAGGATACGAATGACTTTGGATCCCCAACCATCAAACTGTAAATTCGTTACTAACGCCAAACGAATTTCCTGACGAAAGGCGCTGTGGTATACGCTACTAGTGTCCTCCACCAAACTATTCCAGAAGCGAAATACGGATTCAGCCCAGTGCAGCTGTAGCGGCATCTGACCTAGCTCCATAAACAGAAGCTGGAGGGGTGGTACAGAAGTCCCTACCAATTGTTTCATGAAAAAGATTTGGAGCTTGACCATGCGGTCTCGTGTAGCCACATCGAAATAGCATGACCGTGGTGCCTCGTTAGCCGGATAGCCCTTTTCCAACATCGCGAGAACCTGGTCAGCCCCCCACACCTGCGAGCCGTATGATAAGACAGAACGCACTTGCGCATTGAAACACTTCATGCCGACGCTAGGTAGCAGCAGACCCTGTCGGCGCAGCTTGTTGCGCAGAGCAAACATGGCCCGTTGGCCAGCCGAGAACAGCTCATCCGTGCAAGACGCAAAACCCGAGTCTGGTCCGAAGTGCAGCCCCAGATAACGGGCGCGTGTTTTCCAAGTGACCGGACGGAAGATCGGTAACCCCTCTTCAAGTGCGCGCATGGTGACCAGGTTGTATCCGCTGAGAGCATAGACCTGCCTTCTAACCTGACCATTGGGGTGAAAAAACAATAACTCACACTTTTGCACGTTGACAGTGAGACCGAAAGCCTCTGACCACTCCCGCAGTGCCCGTAATAAGCTCATCAACCGTCTCAATGACATCGCGAAGAGGCTCAAGTCATCAGCATAGAGAGATAGGGGCACTCGACGTCCTTCAACGCTAGGGGTGTCATGGGCCGCCATGGCGTCAGGAAGTGCGACGTCTAGGGCATCGATGTAATCTGCAAAACCTTCGACAAAAAAACCGAAGAGCGTGGGGCTCATAGGGCAACCCTGCTTGACCCCTTGGGTGGAGGGAATCGCCTCTCCTTTTGCTCCATCAACCTGGACTCGCATTTCCACCCGGTTGTAGCAGCGCTTAATGACATCTAACGCAGAGCCCGTGACTCCTCGTTCCTCAAGTCTAACCCAGAGCAGCTCTCGGTTAACCCGGTCAAAAGCTTTCTCAAAATCAATCTGGCAAACAAACAACGCTTGTCCGGGGACGTTAACAAAATCCTTACGGCATCGGTCTGTGAGGTGTCGCACCAAGAACAAATTCTGAGTGGTGCCGCGTCGTGGCCGAAAGCCACCCTGATAAGGGCTCCACGCACCACAACGTTCCCCCCAGGCTTTTAGCCTCCGGTCGAGCAATAACGCATAAAGCTTAGACAAAGCCCCACCGACGGCAAGCCCCCGGTAGTTTTTTGGATCCATGACGTCGCCCTTCTTGTGGATGGGTGTGAGGGCGGATATCTCGAACTGCCTTGGGTAATCCCCAGTCGACCGGATATGTTCCAATAGACGCAGCAAATATGGTGCAAGCACCATCTCTTCCTTTTCGCCCACCTTTCTAGTGGCATACTTATAGCACTCAGCAGGGGCCCTTTCAAGCCCTGGGGATTTATTGTTGCCCAGCATTTTTAGTGCAGCAATGACCTCTGCCAAGGTAAACGGAGCACTGAGGGCCGCCGCAGCAGCTACTCTCTGATTTCGGGCTAAGCAGCTCTCACCAGCCCAGCCGCGCGGTATGGTAAGTGAGCACCCATTTACGAGGTTCATCATGTAATCCGCTCTAACCTCATTAAAAGCGTTGATCTCGTCGTTGTATAGTGCGTCAAAATAATCGCGCCAGCTGTTGACGTCACGTATTGGGCAATCAGGTGTCGCCCCCTGGTTAAGTTGCCGCCACAAAGCACGCGGATTCCCTTTGCACTCCTCAAGAAACGAAGTAAAATGCGATACACGATGGGCAGCCATTGCCTCCTTCCTAATCCTCTGGTAGCGAGAGCGCAGGAGTGTAAAGATATGCC